GAAGATCAAAGTGGATGAGCCTGTCGCTGATAAAGCTAAAGAGATGGAGAGTCATGAAGAAAAGGAAAGCCAAAATGTTTCAGCAGAAATCACTCCTGAGGTGAAGAAAGAGTCAGAGGAGAAACAATGCGAAGACACATCAGAGCTCCAGAATATGGAGACTGAACCTGTGAGTGACTTCATTATTTTTGTTCATATTATGAATTGGATGAGGTTAGAACACAAAAGATGAAATTTTATCTGACAGCTCCAGTGCTCTTGGCACAAATGTTTGCGCTACAACCTGACCGAGAGGAATGTGGTGGAGAAACATAGAAATTCATTTGATATTCCATGGAGTGTTTTAAAACTACGTCACTCTTGTAACATTACGAGTCTGCCTTATATCTGATTACAACTTGTCAAACGACATGATCGGTTGTTTTTGGAGTTTAAAACTTTCATACTGTGAGCCTTGGTGCTCAATTCCTATTTATTGCTCAGACCCTTTTTTTTCTTTCACATTGTTTGAATGTGGCCAATATCAGATTCCAGTGTGATCAGATCATGGCCCTGGACCGACCCGTATGTGGTCAGTCCAGTATGATAAAAAGACGTCACGCAGCATATGCTGTCATACGGAAGTTAACACAGACGACATAAAAGTAAGCGATTACGCGTTTATTTATAGGTTGATCTGGTGCTGAAGCCAAATCTGTTTTTTTTTTTTTTTCCAAACAAAATGATTATTTATCTTGCCTGATGTTTGCCCTCATTGCATTTTTACAGTGGGGTAATTTTGTTAAGAATTTACACAACACAAAGAAGCTTGATGTAAATTGTTTAATTAAATTGAAAAAGTACCACAAATAAATACAATAGAATAAAGAAAGACACAAATGAAGACAATTTTTGAATTGGTCTAACAATAGCATTCATAGCAATGGCTGTCAGCCATCATGACGGACGATGCTTCATGGCCTATATACGCCACATATTGTTGTCTATTTACTAAATAACTAATACTACACCTCTAATTCCGTATGTCGGTAATTTAGATATCAATATACCATGATCAAGAGTGTCGTAAGCCTTTTTAAGATCAATAAACACCAACGTATAATTTTTATTCTCCAATTCTGTAGTAATATCTTCTGTGATTTTCATCAAAGCCATAGCTTTTTAGCGGGTGCTTCGAAACCCAAACTGATTATAGTTTATCAAAGAATGATTTAAGAAAACAATCTTTTTTTTTTTTAAACAAAAAGCTTCTCCAGAATTTTGGAAATAATTTTTCATATTGAAAGATCATATTGAATATTCTACTCTTTACACAGTCACTGTATTATCAAGGTTAATGAACCAAAGAATCAAGCTTTGGTTAAACTTATTTTAAACTCTACACAACATGCATGCAAGCAACAGACTATTATTTTTATAAAGTCTAGTAGGTTCTCAGATGCTGCGATTTCCTTCTCACATCCCTGAATTCACTATTAGCTTTTCACCTGAACAGTTTATGATGTGTTATATGGTATCATTGCGATCTTTGACCATCAAAACATTGGAGTAGACATCTTATGTTTGATTCAGGAAATAGAATGCAAAATACATAATTTGATTATGGTGGAAAGTAAAATGGCTGCCATGTTTACCACAAGACTTTTTGGGATGGCTCCATTTCTGAAAATGTTCAGGGCCCCAAACTGTACAAGAGTACCAAGTTTCATGCTTTTATGAAAAAATGTACATATCACCTGGACTAAGAGGTGTCATTGTAATACTTTTGAGTTCTGACACATCACTGTCCTTCTACCTTTAGCAACTCTCGAAAATGTCAGGCATGTAAAATCTTTTAAGTGACTCGCATGAACTCAGAATTGTGATGAATGTTGATCTAGCGTGACGTAAAAGTCGCATGGATTCCGATATAATCGTTATTGAAAAGATGAGATTCCATATGGTTTGTGCTGTTCACACTGTCATGCGAAACAGATGTGAGTCGCATGTGAGCAAAATCAGATTTGGGCAGCATTTATCGGCAGTCTGAACGTAGTGAATTCAGCCCCCCCAAGCAGTAGACAAAGCATTGAAAAAAAAAAAAAAAGAAAGAAAAGAAAGAGAATTGATTCAACCACTGCTTTGCTTGATGTATCCTTTGACCAGGAGGCTGAAGATGAAGAAACTGTTGCTTCAGAGAAGAGTGTGAAGACTGAGGAAAAGACAATTACAATAGCACCATCTGAAATAAAGCCTGAAACTAGCCATTCTACCCTAGAGCCATATGATCCTAATGTCCCAGTGGGTAAGATGACTTTGTTTTTCACAAGAAATAAGGTGTTTGACTTAAGATGTTTTATATGAATTTTCTTCAGCTTTTTGAACAGATGCGACACTAAATCATTTTTTGGCTTGCTATAAAATGCTTTAAACCAAACCATAAATGGATTGTAAAAAGTGATGGACCCCCACTAAGTAAATATTTCATTATTATTATTATAAGAAGAAGCCTCATTAATGAATCTCATTTGTCCTGTTTCAGGTGTGGAGTTTGTGAAGATGGGGTACTACTGCAGAATCTGCTTCCTGTTTTATTCTAATGAGGACACTGCTAAGAAAATTCACTGCAGTAGCCAAGCACACTACGATAAACTTAAGGTGATATATATTTTCCTTTTATCTATCCTTGATCAATGATGTCAGAGCAGGACTGAGATCTTTATGCTTTACATTTTGAGGATTCACTTTTTTTTATTAGTCAATATTAGCATTATTACATTGACATTTTTGTTGTTGTTCAGTATATTTTTTTTTGAAACATGTTGTTTTCTTCTTATCAGAAATATTTGGAAAAGGAGAAAGCCAAAGCACAGAGTAACGGGACGAAGAAATGAACCATTGACGCTGGAACATCTGTTAATATGTCCATTACGTCCCTGTGATCGCATTTTCTTTTTTTTTTAGTATGTTTGATTTTTTTTCTAAAAAAATTATTAGACTGAGGCATTGCTTCTTTTAATGTAGTTATAAAAACTGGTGCATTCTTGGCAATTCCTAGCTGTTCAGTCATAGCAAATTAGATGTGAAATTTAACACATTTTATGCCTTAAATAATTGCTACTACTGTTTTTGTTTTTCCTTTCTTTTATTAAACTTCCAGCATTCCTCATAATCTTCCTGACTGTTTTTAATAATTCATCTTTGTTTAGTCTGTATTCTGTGAAAGGAGAATATATTCATGGCCCCTTTGTTTAATGTAATTAATCAGTGTTACCTATCATTTTACAGTAAAACGGCACTCATATGAGAGAATGTCCGCTATTGATGGACCCCGTGCATTGGGTTTAAATTTAAATGCCCCTAACCCCTGATCACTTCTGAGCCACCACGTATACATATACGGGTACGCTTCTGCTTTGGGGCAAATTAAAACAACACTATTTAGAAATAATGGTCAATTGTTCTCCTATTTAGAAATTCTTCATACATAAGGCATCCCAGTCAGGGGCGACCTAAACTAAAAGGGGGCCACAGCTTAATTTCCTTAGCTAATTTCTTCAATGATGTTTATCCACCTCACCTTCTCTTTATTAAGGTAATCTGCCTTATTTCAGGGTCTGCATCATGACGTACCCTGTAGTGTTGGTGCTTTTCTGCAGCAGACAACAGCAATTTCCAGACAAATACATACAAACCATTTGATGTAATGAACAACAAGCTAGTGCGCAGTGATCACTGAGGATGATTTTTAACCTATTAACCATATTTTCAAAATTAGAAACAATTATCAGTTTCCATTATAAATGTGGACATTTTATGTTTTACCACATAAATGATTCATTCTAAAACATTGAAAAAGGATTGAATTAAGGTCGGTGTGATATTTTCTCAGCTTATAAATAGTTTGCAGCCAAAAAGTATTCTACTTCCTGAGTCATGTGATTCAGATGGGTGTGTTCAGATGGACTTTCCATCAGAGTAACAGTTGTTCAATATATTAGGGACGCAACATATTTTAAAGAGTTTAAGCATTAAAATGTATTAATAAAACTATATTTTGGTGAGGAATTATTATAAATAAGAATGTTGAAAAAGAACTAGCACTAAAATCAAAGTAATTATTTTAAATAATCCTGGATATATTCTGATTTATGGTAGAGTGGGGTTAACTATGTCAAATGAATGTTTAGAAACCAGTATTGGGTCATTTTTGACCAAAATAAACCACATTATGTCATGGGGGACTACACTGGGACTGAAACGCCTAGTGATAACCATTGCAACCACTTTACTTTTCCGCCCTAACCAAATTATGTATGTTGTATCACATCTCCTGAATCAAACATAGCACAGAAACTATGATGTATAACCCTATCTTTTGATGACCAGGGATTACAATCATACCATATAAAATATCATAAAATGTTTAGGTGAATTCAGGGACATGAACAGTTTATGATGTTGTATGGTATCATTGTAATCCTTGACCATCAAAACATAGGGGTAGACATCACATTTCCCAAGTTATCCTGTTTGGTTCAGGAGATATAATACAAAATATATAATTCAAGTAATGGCGGAAAGAAAAATGGTCGCCATAAGTGTTTTTGCGATGGCTCCATTTCTGAAAATGTGCAGGGCTCCAAAATGTATGTGTACTACCACTATTTTCGTGCTTTTATGAAAAAGCGAACATCATTTTCACATATCACCAGGACTAATAGTGTTGAATGAGAAAATAGCAAGAAAAACACATAGTGTTCACAACATTCAAAAAGAGGGAAAAAAAGAGAGGTGGATGAAGGCAGTCAGAATATGTTAATTTTACTGTCAATTTTACAAAGAGCGTTAACTAGTTTTATTTTATGTAAATGTAGTGTAATAATAAGTATAGTAAGTGTTATAAATCTACATACATATTTTTTTAGTGAACATTTTTTAAAAACCTCGCCTCCTTAGATTTGATTGGCTATTAAGAGCTCTACGTTTCACCTTTAGGTCAAGTTCGTCGAGACTGACCGAGGGAAAGAAATAACATTGTATCATGGCATGACTAAGTTACATAGAGCATTAGGGACAATCTTTTAAAATAGCCGTTTCATTATGATTATTGTTTTTGGGACCGAGAGAAGGGTATAAAACTCAAGCTGAAAGTGCATGAATGAATCTTGACACATGCGCGTTTTACGACAGGGGTAACGTGATAACGATACAACCGCGAGCGCTATTTACAACAGAGGACACACGCTTCATGGGTTATGCTCTAATTTAAATGTGATTCAGAGCTGTATTTGTTTCTTTTTTCAAAATGGTGCGTATGTGTGCTTTTCCTGGATGCTTCAACCGACAGAAAGCAGTGAGATTACGTCCGCGGGCGTTATCTCCAGGGGAAAGGCTGACTTTCCACAGATTCCCACTCAATGATCCTGAGCGACTGAGGCTCTGGCTGCTCGCGGTTCAACGGGATACGAGTTTACCCATTCAGTCTCTCGAAGTTTTGAGGCTGTGCAGTGATCATTTCTCACGAGACGATTTCAAATCAGACGAGGGAAATGTACGACGATATCTGAAATCAACAGCTGTGCCTCTGTTGTTTTTAAAAATTGAGGTAGGCTATGAGGAGAACATGTAAATTCGGATGAAAAACGAAACCTGCTCAGTTGTTCTAAAACTTTACTTTATTCTGTGGATAACAAGATAAGTCGCGATGAATCGGTAGTAAACTTCTTAAATTTCTAGTAGCATACGAAGGCACAATAATTATTTTTTATATAAATATTTTATTAACCCTTTAATAAACAGAGACACTTAATTTGTTATTCCATAGAAAATGGAAGGGTGAAACTTAGAACTTTATTAATGCATTTTATGGCAGTGCACTATATCTGATTTTGAACATGTCAAACAGCATTTTGAGTTTTGTAGGGATAGGGATGCAGCGATATGAAAAAAATTGGCCGATAATAACAGATAATTATTTAAAGCCAATCACTGATATTGGGCGATACATCTAAGTAGCCTACAAATTTTTATATACTTTTGAGAGCCTGATTACAAAAACAGAATTCTCACCATCAAAAGCTATCCCAAGCACACAATTATAATGTTCTCATAATTTTATGTAGCCCATAGAATGTTGCACTTAACTGTATTTTCCTTTTTTGAAGTGACTCCATATTTCAAGCAGTTCAAAACCATTATGGCGAACAGTGCCTAATCTGAAGTGTGTCAGCTGAAGATGATCCATTATTAATAATGATCCATGTCGTGCATCCCTAGAATTTAGCCCAGACAGGTTCCTCAAGGGCTATAGGCAAAGATTCATCCACTTCTTGTCTTTGCTGTCTTTTGCAGGAGGGTAAATATGAAGAGACTGTTACTCCTCCACCTGTTTTATCAGAGAAGATTGTGAAAACTGGAGAAAAAGGCACTTCACCTGCACCGCATAATATAGCTTGAAACAAGCCACGCTGCTTTTGATAATGTCTCATTTGGTTAGATTGCTTTTTGCTATAAGTTGTTTTACAAATCCATCCATTTGATCACAGCATAATGACCAAGAACACGGTTACAAAATAATTTGGTAAAAAATGCAGTAAAAAAGCAAGCAAGCAAATAAAAGCCCTTTAATAATCACAGGTGTGTGAATCACTTCAGCTTAGCATGAATGAATTCACTGAGTTCTGTGTTCTCTCGAAAATGCAGTGGTGATCAGTGTTATTACAACGAATGTCTTCACTTTGTTGTTACACTGAGAGAATTTTTGAGAATGCAGAACCAAAGTAGTTTTGACATCACTAACTTTGACATTGTTATTGTACAAAAATGCCTCTAAAACAAATGTTCCTTTTTTCTGATCTAAAATATTTGGAAGTGAAGGAAGTCAGAGCAAAGACCCTTGGAGTAAGAAATGATCTCATGAACTTCTCTTCATAAGTCTGTTATGTTGCTTTTTATTTTCTTTTTTTTTTCTAAAAATAATTAGACTGAGGGCCAGGGTTGCTTCTTTTAATGCAGTGATGAAATTTGGTGCATTCATAAGCAATTCCGGGCTGTTCTGTCGATTTAGATGTGAAGTTTAACACATTTTATGCCTTAATTGCTACTACTATATTTCTGTTTTTGTTTTTCTCTTCTTTTATTAAACGTGAAGCGTTCATTTTTTGTGTAGTGAAAGGATATATAATGTGTAAACTAAATGTCCAGAAAATATAAATTCTGGACTTGGTTCTCCCTTGTAAGTTTATCAGTGTCACTTTCTCTGGTCTTTATCGAACCTGAAATATTTACAGGGATTTTTGGAAAGTAAAAAAAAACAAAAAAAAAACAAAAGGGCTTTACCCTTATGGTTTAACCATGGCATCCAGTTTTCTATATATTTGTTTACACCAATTACAATAGGTATATTGACAGTCATTTCATTACATTTGTGCTGAATTCCAGGTTATCACAGCAATTATTAAAGCAATTATTTCTAAATAAAAAGTTTACATGTTATGAACTGACCGGTATGTGGAGACTTTTATTTTAAAACAAATTGCTTTTCCGGTGTGTAAAAAAAAGCGAAACAAGAAGAACAGCCTTCATCAGAACTGCTGCTTTACAGACATTCAGTGATCCTTTTTTTTTCCATCGTGTGTAGGTGAGTTTATATAAATGGTTTAGACTAAACGATTAGTTTCTACGTATTATGTTTAACGTTAACTTGGGAATGCGTTATATCGTGTCATTACATTAGCGGAAATATGGCGCCTAGCATCAACAGGCCCAAACGCAAACGATTCAGCCTTCATGTAAAACAATCCCAAAATTGTTCTTTATCTTTATGTTGGAAAAACAAACTCCATCCACGATTCACCCATTTAAGTAGTTTATATGAAATCACCAGCTTTGATATGCAATAATTGTATTTTTGTTTATTTTTTATTATAAATGCCGCTTTAATATCTTTGTTGTTACTTCATATCAAGACTATATAATAGTGAGATTTAAAAGGAAAATGTATCAAGTTAAAGTTGCTTTCCCTTATCGATGTGTGCACAATTTAGCCTTAAATATTAATGAACTAAGAAAAGTTTATCAGTTTATTGATGCACCAAGGTTTTTTACTTTACTAATTGTCATAGTACTGGCTTGATACAGCTGAAGTTGTAAAAAGCAAATCCAGTGACATCCACAAAGTATGAATGATTTGATTTTTCATCTCAAGGTAAGACTGAAACAGGTGACGCACCTCACCGGATTCACCGGCAGATCTTCCACCTGGAGTTGACCTCTACAACATTTTAATATCAGGAGATTCTCCTTATTGACATCTTTTTAACAGGTGAGCAGCAGCCATCACTGCAGGAGCTGATTTTTTTAGCAGTACCAGAAGGGTCCCTACACTAATTTGACCAAGTGGAACTTTGACTTTGAGACATGTCTTACAATCATCCATATCGAAACCCACCAGATGATTTCAGCGCAAACAATGACAAGTACAAAGACTCGCAACGAATTCATCCCCGGGAGTCTAACGCTTACATGTCAAGAATGAGGAACACATCTCAAGAGCAGACATCTCTATCTTCATCAGAAATGTCAATCTTCCCACCTGGTAAGGCTTTGTCCTTTCTGCATAGCTGTGGACTGGATGCTGAAGACCTGAAAACTCTGGCGGAGCTTCCTGAGCATCTCATCACAGCCGATGCTCTTCCCGACCTTCTTGCAGAGATGAAAAAGAAGAAAATGTCTACCGCTTCTTCATCTAGGTCCAGTGCGCTCCAAGCCAGTGCGTCAACTCGCTCCTGGGATGATAGGTGCCACACTCAGTCGGTTGAGTATCCAGTAGATTTGCCCGTGCGTCAGTCGTATTCCCTTAATCGAGAGCAGGTTCCAGCCTGGGATGACCGCTGGGGAGATGTCCAACAAACAAGCTCTCAAACACACACATACACAAATTCAGAGCCAAACTATGTGGTTGAGTACAACCATTTGAAAGATAAAAATTCCTATTTTGATAATGCGTCGCCTTATGCCACAGAACCACCAAGGCAGAACACGTCAGTTGTCTCGCAGTCTTATGCTAACTACAGCAGAGATGTCGGTCAATCCTCACATCTGTCCAGTAGGGACATCAGTCAATCCTCACATCGCTCTGGCAGAGACGTCAGTCAGTCTTCGCATCTGTCGAGCAGGGACGTTGGTCTTCCATCACTCCTGTCCAGCAGAGATATCAGTCAGTCCTCACATCTGGCCAGTAGAGACGTCAGTCAGTCCTCGCATCTGTCAAGCAGAGACGTTGGTCTTCCGTCACTCCTGTCCAGCAGAGATGTCGGTCCGCCCTCAGTTTTTCCCAGCCGAGGCATCAGCTCACCATCACTCGTGTCCAGAAGAGACATCGTTCCCCCTTCAAACCTGTCCAGCAGAGACATCGGCCCACCTTCGTTCTTGCCCAGCAGAGACGTTGGTCTACCCTCGCTCCTGTCCATTAGAGACCTTGCTCCGCCGTCACGCCTGTCCAGCAGAGATGCCAGTCAATCTTCACATCAACGTAAGAAACCGGTGATCCATATAGTCCCTACAAGGAAGGAGGCGTCAGATTTCCATGGGAAGACTCCACCAGTGTTCCCCTATGCATGCGTACTCTGCGAAATCACTGTCCTCTCTAACAAGGTAAGTTGCCTTTTTGTTCTCAGATTCTACATTACCAGCTATTTACCAGACAATTGCAGGCAAAATGCACATGAGCGTACCTGGGCATATGAGGTAAGTCCAAGTAGCATGTTTAATATCCATGTAGGAAGCAAAGCATTACAGGCATAGTTTAATCCAAAATGAAAATTGTCATTTATTTTTATCCTCATGTTGTACCAAACACGATTAAGACAAAAGTAAGATAAAAGCAGTCACCTTGTGAGCTGTATTCCAAATCTTCAGGAGCCTATAGCTAGACTGATGTCATGGTCCCTCTGCCATTGTCCTTAAATCTCATTCCCGCATTCACATATATGTGAATTTGCTGCATCATGACCGGTCACGAGACATGCAAAAACCAATAAAATTTGAAATCTGTAGTTTAATTTGATTTAATATTCAGTTGGAAGGCTTGAGCTGTATCACTGTGAAAACAGCACAAACCGTATACATGATATTTGTAAATGCTTTCATTTAAAATTGATATCCATAATCCGTATGGACACAGAAAGTCTATACATTTACTTTGATAGAGTTATAACTGAATATTGAGAGATGTTACTTGTGTTTTAGGACTGGTCTGTGCATGTGAAAGGACCCCAACATGCTAATAGTCAACTCAGTCTTGTGGAAAAGTAAGTTATCTTCAACTTTGTTGTCAACCATGTTGTCGCTAGATATTCATTTCTGGCCAACACAAAATGTTAAGTGGTTTATTGGAGTGAGGATGGTAACAGTTTAACAAGAAACATAAGTCAATGTAAACAAAGGTTATGCAATTATTTGTGACATTTTATAAAGTAGTAAATAATAATTTGTATTATATCTTGTTTTATAATGTGCTATAACCTCTTTGTGTACCATTAGATATCCAGAGTGGGATCAGACAATCCAATCTGCTCGAAGGTAGAATTATTCCCCCATTATATATTTCATAAAACACAACACAATTCCAGAAATTCGTTGGCTTACATGCTAAACGTTTAACACTTAAACAGAATTGAGTCCGGTTCCGAGAGTTCAAAGTCCAGATCGACTCAGGAACGAGGTAAAGCCTTTTCTCCCTCCATAGTCATTTGATCATCTTTAAGATGTATTCTTTCATTTTGATCGTGTTTTGTTTTTTTCAGGTGGAACTTCAAGTAATAGAAATGAATCATCTGGCAGTAAAATTGGATCATCGAGCAGTAAAAACCTGAATAAAACCCAAGCCACAGCAAAGGTGGGGTTTTGTTTTTAATGTTCTATTTCATTTGATGTTAGCAAAAATAAATTGTAAAAACCTGATATAGTTTTACCATAATATTTCTTGCCATGAAAATAGCAACAGAATCTGTAATGGCGTTAAAAACATGGCTGTAAATGTTGTAATATTTTGACATTATTTGGCAATATTTTAATACAGTGCAAAGTGGTGTGTGTAAAGTTCGAAGTGGATGACGTGGACGAAGCTTACCTGAAAAAATTGCTTGGCCAGTTTGGAGCTATTGTCAAAATTATCATGTTTCCTAAATTGGTATGGGATTTTATTTTTCATTTACATATGGGCCATTCTACAGAATTGGTTCAAAGTCAGAGTTGGAAACATCTAGGACAGTAGTTCCCAACCTTTTTTTTGTCTGAGACCCCCTTTTTCCCAAGAAAATATTTTAGGGCCCCCCTTCACATTTAATGATATTATCGCTCTTGTAATCGATAATTATGTTGTTTTCAAACAAATGGTATCTTTACTATAACCGGATATGTTTATGCACAAATAAAAGCCTATAATACTGAAAATGCAATAATAAAAACATCAGTAGGCCCTTTGTAATTTAAAAACGTAAGCCTAGGAGAAGCCTATTGGCCCTATTTGAAATGCAAAAACAAAAGTATTCACACTAGTGTGTAGGTAAAAAAAAAAAAAAGAATGACTGCTATCTGAGGCCTCAATACTTGCAAGTTATTTGTGAGGCTTTATCAATGAGAGGCTTTATTTTTTTACGTTTTTGGCGCTTTAGCGAGCAATAATAAACTTGTGTTTATTAAAAATAATAATAATGCGTCTTTCGGAAGAACATTGTAGCCGGAACTATTTCTCTCTGTGTACATCTATGACGAGTCATGCAGGTACAGTGTAAAATAGTCCCAATGTAGGTGTACCATAGTGGTTCAGGATAAGACAAAAACACGGATTGATGGATGGAACTCACTCATTATATAAATTTTGAATAGAAAAAGGTCTTTAATTTAATGCTCATTGCACAGAGCTCGCTGAGGCCCCTTGTGGGCCGCGACCCCCCTGTTGGGAACCGATGATCTAGTATGTATCTATGAGAGAGGAGGACACATGTTTATTTCCTGGAATATCTCCAGTCTCAGCCAATGCACTAAAACATTGGTTTAGGTAGTGACATGAAAATGTGGAAATTCTGGTAAATGAAGATGTGGGAGAAAATAATATAAAACTTTTATAAAAAGCGACAAATTGTCGCTTTTTATTCCATTGTTTTATATTATTTTCTCCCAATTATTTCAATATTATTTTTATAAGTTGAAATTTTAGGGGTTAGGGTTCGGGACACCCACCTTTAATTGAAAGTACCTAATAAATTATGTTTATACATTCACCGGCCACTTTATTAGGTACCCCATGCTAGTAACGGGTTGGACCCCCTTTTGCCTTCAGAACTGCCTCAATTCTTTGTGGCATAGATTCAACAAGGTGCTGGAAGCATTCCTCAGGGAGTTTGGTCCATATTGACATGATGGCGTCACACAGTTGCCGCAGATTTGTCGGCTGCACATACATGATGCGAATCTCCTGTTCCACCACATCCCAAAGATGCTCTATTGGATTGAGATCTGGTGACTGTGGAGGCCATTTGAGTACAGCGAACTCATTGTCATGTTCAAGAAACCAGTCTGAGATGATTCCAGCTTTATGACATGGCGCGTTATCCTGCTGAAAGTAGCCATCAGAAGTTGGGTACATTGTGGTCATAAAGGGATGGACATGGTCAGCAACAATACTCAGGTAGGCTGTGGCATTGCAACGATGCTCAATTGGTACCAAGGGGCCCAAAGAGTGCCAAGAAAATATTCCCCACACCATGACACCACCACCACCAGCCTGAACCGTTGATACAAGGCAGGATGGATCCATGCTTTCATGTTGTAGACGCCAAACTCTGACCCTACCATCCGAATGTCGCAGCAGAAATCGAGATTCATCAGACCAGGCATCGTTTTTCCAATCTTCTATTGTCCAATTTTGATGAGCTTGTGCAAATTGTAGCCTCAGTTTCCTGTTCTTAGCTGAAAGGAGTGGCACCCGGTGTGGTCTTCTGCTGCTGTAGCCCATCTGCCTCAAAGTTCGACGTACTGTGCGTTCAGAGATGCTCTTCTGCCCACCTTGGTTGTAACGGGTGGTTATTTGAGTCACTGTTGCCCTTCTATCAGCTCGAACCAGTCTGGCCATTCTCCTCTGACCTCTGGCATCAACAAGGCATTTCCGCCCACAGAACTGCCGCTCACTGGATGTTTTTTCTTTTTCGGACCATTCTCTGTAAACCCTAGAGATGGTTGTGCGTGAAAATCCCAGTAGATTAGCAGTTTCTGAAATACTCAGACCAGCCCTTCTGGCACCAACAATCATGCCACGTTCAAAGTCACTCAAATCACCTTTCTTCCCCATACTGATGCTCGGTTTGAACTGCAGGAGATTGTCTTGACCATGTCTACATGCCTAAATGCACTGAGTTGCCGCCATGTGATTGGCTGCTTAGAAATTAAGTGTTAACGAGCAGTTGGACAGGTGTACCTAATAAAGTGTCCGGTGAGTGTGTGTATGTGTATGTATATATATATATATATATATATATATATATATATATATATATATAAAGGTTCCTGATATTTTAAATAGTATTGTGGGTTCCATTAGATAATAGAAGGATCATAGTGAACATCTTAGATTTTAATACTTAAATACATTTTAAATGTGTATTTTGGTTGTGGACAGCTGTTTGCACCATTTCTGTAGAATGGCCCATATAACTCCTTTAACAAATTTATTTGGATCAGTTTTATGCTTTGATGGGCTTTAATAATTGTAATTTGTCTAAATATTTAATTTTTGTAGGCTTTTGTGGAGATGGGAACAGCAGGCCAGGCAGAGGATATAGTAAAATATTTCTTACACAACCCACTGTGGATCAGAGGGGAAATGATACAATTTTCTCTGTCTGCAGCATTCAGTTTCCTACAGGTGAATTATGATCATTGAGCCTTTATGTTAACATAGCTGCCAACTTTTGAGTTTAGCTTGGAGTGAGAGTTTGGCGGGTCAAAATCGTGGGTGTGGCATGTGAAACCAGTCAAATGCGTGTCTCACAGCCAATACATGAGAGTTGGCAGCTCTGTGTTAAATGCTTATCTGTTGAAAGATTGATAGACCAAAACACCAAATATGAGTACCCTCTTCATAAAATTGTAACTGCACCTAAAGCTGGATATGGTGATTACACTGAATGATTCACTTCAACTTCATGTGCTCAGATTCTTGTTTCCCAGTCTTAGGCACCTTATTTAGTTAAATCTGGAAGGTGTCACGGATATTTTGACTTGTGTCCACTTGGTTTGTTTTAGTTTAGATATTTGCCGCTAATGTTAATTGAATGATTTGCTTTTTTTCACAGAGTTCTCTTGTTGTGAGCTTTTCACCATTACCTTCTGGAGAGGGCATAAGCTCTGAGTTGTTGGCCATTGCTAAGCGTTTCGGATCAGTAAAACATTCGCTGTTTCTGCCAAGCCGGGTAGCCAAACTCATTATTGTGCAAATATTTCTATTTACTTATTCTTATGCCATGTTCTCTCTTCAGTTACCTATATAGTGTAATGACTCTCTCTATTTGTACAGGGTTATGTGGAGATGGGCAATGCTGAAGAGGCCAACAAAATAGTGCAGCACTATTCAACCAATTTACTCAAATTAAAAGGAAAAACCATTAACGTTGGCTTCTCAGCTGAGTACCAGTCGCTTAGGTAAACCCATTCTGCTGATTTTATGCTGACTTGGAAAGAAAAATACGTTTTTTTACATCCATTCTGCTTCTAAAATGTTAACATTTTTCATTATTTCCCTCCATGGTCCAGTGGTGTTGAGAAAGAAGAATCACCAGTACCTTATAGCAACAGGAGGAGGAGGAATAGCAGCCCAAAAAGGAGACCCCGTAGTTCCCGAAGAGACTCTCCCAGCCCCAAAAGAAGAGCCTCTGAAGAGAGGTCCAGGTCTCGCAGGAGTCACGACTCTAAGAAACGAGAAGAAAGTCGACGCTCTCGGGAGAAAACCAAAGAGAGCTCTAGACGGGACAGCTCATCTAAATCCCATTCCAAAAGAAGCTCTTCTTCAAAAGACCAGAAACCGAAAACAACAACAGAAGAAAGTGTGGAGAAGCTGGTTAAACAAGGCAACGATCAGTCTGAAATCATAGGGGACGATAGTGATCTTGAAGGAGTGGCAGTTATAGCAGATGACGGTGAAGAACTGAATTCAGAAGATGAGCTCACAGTAGATTACGAGCTAGATGACGAGGAATATGAAATCGCAGATTCTCTGACAGAACAGGATACACTTGAAGATGTCCAAACTGTGAAAGAGTCAAATGATGAGACTAAACCTTCAGATATGGACACATCGAACATACAGTCTGAGACATCAGAGTGTGTACCAACTGCTACAACAACTGATAGATCAAGTGATTGTAAGGAAGCCCAGGATCTTCAACAAGGAGAGCAAAAAGAGATAAAACAAGGAGAGCAAAAAGAACATCAACAAGGAGAGCAAAAAGAGATTCAACAAGAAGAGCAAAAAGAGATTCAACAAGAAGAGCAAAAAGAGATTCAACAAGAAGAGCAAAAAGAGATAAAACAAGGAGAGCAAAAAGAGATTCAACAAGAAGAGCTTCAGCAAAAAGAGCTTCAACAAGGAGCGCTAAAAGATGAAACGGTGGAAATGGAAGAGGTAAACACAACTGAAGTCGTTTTAGCTTACCTCAAGGTCATCCAATATGTAGTTGTCTTTGTTTCCACAGTAGTTTCAATTTTGATATTTTTCAGTCAAATCGTTCTTGTCTATCAGTCATATAATGGAGATTAATGGGGCCCACCTCAAAGAGCATGCACAGAGAAGTCCAAATTAAACATGATTTAATGACTCGTAAATGTAAGTACACATTGATGGCCTAAGACACAAAATGAGCGGTTCGTGTGAGAAAGTGAACAGTATTTATATAATTTTTACCTTGTGTGATCACAGCCACGTCCAACTGATCTGAAGGCACGGGCACTTCGGTCTGCGCATGCGCCGGAAGTGATCGCTTGCGCAAAGTTTTACCTTTCACTGTGAAGATCTAAACATATTTAGATATACAGGAGATCACAATGGAAGCTCTTTGAGGTGGGCCCCATAAATCTCCATTATACGACTGATAGACAACAACGGTTTGACCTAGAAATATCAAAATTGAAAATACTGTGGAAACAAAGACGCCTACATCTTGTATGCCCTTGAGGTAAGCCAAAACATATCAAAAATTAATTTCAAAGTGAACTATCCCTCTAAGGTCTGGACTTAGAGGTGTCAATTCATGTGTGAAAATGATTCTTCATGCTCCCTCCCAACCATTCTTTCACTATTTGGGCCTGATGAATCTTGACATTGTCATCATGGAATATGGCCATAATGTGTCTTCCTACATGGTTGTTTTAAAAATGAAAAGCTACACTCTCCATCACTTAGGGGTAGAAGAACTGTTGCCAAACATATAACATGCTAAAAACATAATAATCACTGCAATAATGATCCAGTCATAGACTCTTAAGTATTTGCCTATTTAAATACAAACAGCTACTTTTCTTTCTTGTTTTGACCAGACAATGCCTTTCAGTTGATTTGGCAGTGATACACCATTATTTATTGTATTCTATTTTTTTAAAATATAAAGAAACAAATCTGTATTGTTCTGTTTGTATAGAATGCAACAGATTTGACAGAGAATCTAGAAAACTTGCCCACGCCAGATGAATTTGAGGAAGTGCTGACAGACCAAGGTATGTATTTTGCACAGTTATTCAATAATTCAACCATAAAAACAAAGTTCTGCTGTATGTTTGTGTTCATTTTTCATTGGAGGTTTCAGAGATATTGAAATTGAGGAAGTATGCTCATTCTGTTTTAGGTAATAAAATGGAGATCTCCACTTCAAGCACTGAGGTTAGTCGGTTTTCCCTTCAATGTATGTGATATTTCTTTTGTTTATATGTATGGAAAATTAGAGGCATGGATTTTGAGTTCTGGATAATTTGCTTAATTTCTTTAGGAAAAGTATGGCAAAGTTCTTGAGGTGGCAGGTTTTCCAGTGGCTAAAAAATACAGTGAAAACGATTTGCTGAAAATTGGGGAGAAATATGGAGATGTGGCAGACTGCTGCTTGGTTCGCAGCAATCGAAAGGTAAAATGATTAAATTCAACATTGAATAGAAGAAAAAAGTGTATGCAAATGGTCAAACTGTTTATATGCAGTCTATAATTCTTGTATTCCGGCTTAAAACGTTATACTTGCATGCATATTAAATGTGCGCCTCTTTGAAACTTGCAGAAAAGAAATGGATGTACCAGTGTACAGGTTTCAATCGATGTTATCAAATACTTCTTTATTTTTGGACCTGTGGCTATGTTAAGAAAGAAGGATGCAGTCTTTGTAAAATTATTACCAAAAATAATTTATATAAATGAATACGTTTCAGAAGATTCTTTCATTGCAGGTGGAGAAGGCATTAATTGAGATGGTGAATGCTACTGATGCTGCAAAACTTGAAGTTGAGTCTAAAAGGCAACGCATTAGACTAGGTGGCAAAATATTGAGGTTAACTGTGTCAAAGACGTACAGCCAAGTAAATGAAGGGTAACTTAAAATTTCTCAAATAAAATCCTTTTCCTATTGCTTTATTGCGCTTGAGTGTTTTGATGTGCCCAGTCATATGAGAGTCACAACTTATGATGTTTGATTCTGTTTCAGGAAAAGTGTTGACTCTGACTCTGGGAGAGCGGATGGTCAGGAACCTGTTGAAGAGGATAGAAAGGAGCCCTCATGCTTATTGACGTCCAGTGAGGAGACTACAGTAGTGATGACTGAGAACTCTGAAGAAGCTGCTGAGACCAACACGGATCCAATCATGCAAACGTCTAGTGATGATGAGGTCAAATCAAGAAATAATTTAACTCTGGGTCTAAAATGAATCTCTAATATAATTAAAATTGTATTTTTCTGGGGTATACAAAACGTGTGTAAATACTGCAGTATTATTATTTTTCCAATACTTCAGGAAGAGTATGGTAGAGTCCTCCGGATCAGAAATCTTCCAATGTCTGATGAATACAGTGATGCAGATTTTCTGAACATCGCAGAACCATATGGGAGAGTAAAGCGTCATTGGATGTTTCGCCTCCATCGAACAGTCAGTATACATTATATTTTGAACATATTCGGTGGTTTCATCAACAAAATCTTACAACTCTCTCTCTTTTTTTTTCCCCCAGGGATTGATTGAAATGGAAAATGCCTGTGATGCTGAGAAGGTTGTATCTGCAGCCAATATGAATACAATTACAGTTGCTGGAAAACATCCCAAGGTTTCAGTGTCTACCAAACATGCCCATTTAAATAAAAGGTAATGAATTGAATTTATGTACTTGACTGGTCATGGGAGTTTGTTACTAAAAATGAAATAAATTTAGAAATTTAAACCCATATGGAGAGTCGGGGTTGCAAAAAAAAATGTTATACTCAGCGATTAATTTAATGATCAGTCAAGTGATGTCACTTTACAGTAATGAAAGATGCATTTCTATTGGGATTTTTTTTATTTTTTTTTTAAATGCACAACCCAACACAGACAGTCACTGGGTTTAAATTTCTAATTAGATGTTACTGAGCTAAGTGTAACAGAAAAAAAAGTTAGGTAACTTTGAAATATTTATTCTAATTAAATATTTGTTATTCGTTAAATGTAGGTTTAATTTAATTTTACATACAATCACAGGAAGTCACTGTTGTTCTGATTGAAAACTGGAAAAACACTTTCTGTTTATTTATTTTTTGCTTTTTAGTCTACAATGTGCACATAGTTTGAAGGAAATCAATGTATTTTTTTTCATAAAAGATGTAATATTCAGAAAATAACAAATCATTCCTTCACTGTAATGATTTAGCATCTTTTTGTTTTTATTGTTTACTAGGTACTTTCTACATGGACCTAGTGATGGTTCTATAGTGCCATCTACTGAGTTGGAGAAGGTAAATGATGAATCCAAAACACAAAACAGCCATCTATCCAAACATCAGTGAATGTTGAGTTCAATTATTGTCACTGTATTATTTTGCAATTTAAACACAGGTCTGTCAAATCCTTGTTTTGTAAGCTTGTAGCTGCTGCTCTGCGGTATACTTACTGATACTGTGTTTAATGATGAATTACTCTGGTTTTAGGAGTTGTGGAGTGATCAGGATGCCGACTCAAAGGAAGATGAGAAGCAGGATTCTGATGTTGATGGTGGAAATAAAATGGAGGCTGAAAATTCAGACAGTTTGTCAGAGGCACAAATACCCAATATGGATCCAGTGGGTAAGAGCATGTTTCACTGCACACGCTTTAGAGGCTGCTGTTACGAGCCCAACCCGGAAAGAGCTGTGTAGGGTTCTTCATACCTGGATATAAGAAAATAAAAAATTATGATTTCCAGACCTGAAGCTGCCCTGGAAATACATAGCGATGGAAATATCTATTGAACGACTCTTCAATGCATTTAAAGGAATTTTTTACCCAAAAACTCACCCTCAAGCCATCCTCATTGTAAATAAGTTTATTTTTTCAGCCGAACTATTCCTTTAATGGAAATGTGTGTCTATGTAGCTAGTATTTGCTATCATATAAGAAAAGGCACTCATGTCTGTGCTATATGCATAATACAACTCTGCCTCTGCACTACTGATCTGTTGCACTTTATCAATAGGGATGGAGTTTATTCGACCTGTGGTGGGTTACTTCTGCAGCTTATGTAACGCCATCTATGCCAGTGAGGAAGAGGCCAAGGATAACCACTGCAGGACCCCCTTACATCATCAAAAGCTGAAGGCATGAATATTTTGCATGTCTAAATATCCGTTAGCTTGTGTGTCATATTTGATATTTTATCTGTAATGTGGTAAAACTGAATCTACAGGACTTATGTGTTCTTATTCTCTTTCTCTTAGGACCACAAGGAGCAAAACAGTTCATCATAAACCTCGACTAGAATCAAGACAATACAGAAATCATTAATGGACATTCATGATGACAGCATACTCTAGTTTAGGAAATGGTTCACCCAAAAAATTTTAGTTGTCATCATTTACTCACCCTTGAGTTGTTCCAAACCTGTATGAGTGTTTTTCTTCTTTTGAACTAAAAAGATCTTTTGAAGAATGTTGATAACAAGACAGTTGATGGTAGCCATTTATTTCCATAGTAGGAGGGTAAAATACTATGGAAGTCAATCTTTCTGGTTACCAACATTCTTCAAAATATCTGTTGTGTTGGATAGAAGAATAAGTCATGTTTGGAAGGTTGAGGAAATTATAATTTTCATTTTTGACTGTACTAACCCTTTAATTCACAATGTTATACGTGTTGTGTTTTAGCATTCCAATTCAAATGCAATTTTGTTTTAATTTGACCCTGTGTGTTGTTTTCCTCTTTAATTAATGATTTTATTAGTTAATATGAATATTAGTAATCTACATTTTTATAGTAATCTACAAAAACAGTCATGTTGTTGTTAAAAGGCATGTATTTTCATAGTGTACTGCATTAAACTTATTAATAAAACAACATACAAGTAATGTCGGTTCTGCTCAAATAAAATCATGTCCTGCTGTCAAATAAGCGCGCTTGTTTTCTTGATACGGGTTTTGATTGGACGGATGACGTTTGTCTCCGCCCACAGTGTGCCGTTTCCATGGCGATCCATCATGGCCGCACACGGTAAGTAAGATGCTTATATGGAATTTTGTTGTAACGAGTTGATTTTAGCTCAATGTCGTCACGCATTAATCTATGTTTTATTGTGAAAACAGTACGTGTCATTAATGAAACCAAATAAACTGTTTTGTGAAAAAAAGCAGTTAAATAGTGACCTTTTGTATCGGATGGAGAGGAAGCTTCGTCTAGCTAATGTTAGCCATTCACAATACTAACGTACTGTGTTGTCATGGCATGCAAAGAAAAAACGATTACTGTTTTGAATTATCTGTTGCCTATGAATTTCAATTTCTTATGAGCTGAATGTTTATTTTAATTTATCTGCTAGATCGGGAATGATTGAATTGGGCTACTAAGTTATTTTGTTACCGCTTGTGACACAAAACATGGTGCAGTTCGACTCGTTTTGTCGTCATTGTATATAACTTATCCACTTTTTCTTGTGGTATTTATGTTGCCCCTGACTAATAAACACTGTAGAAGTTGCATCTAAAGCTCGCTGTCTGAGAAGAATTTCAGAGTTGTTGGGGGGGGGGGAAATAAAGTTTTTACAAATATTAAATCACCGCAATCAGCTAGGATTTTTTAGTTGTGTATCAAAAAAAGACGTTCATGAGACAATATTGATAACCAAATGTTTAATGTTTTGGTATTTTCATGTGTTCAACGCCATTTTTTAAAGTTTGCTAAAAACAGATCTATATATTTATGGGATGGGAAACGCTTTTTCTATCTGGGTGTTTTGGTCCCAGGACCAAAACACCCAGATAGAAAAAGCGTTTCCCATCCCCAGTCCTTCCAGACCTCAAATAAAATACTTTTTGTTTTTGCAGGAAGACAACCTGTTGTATCCTTTTCAGGTCTTTCATCCCTTCACGTGACAATTTCCTTATTAATTGTGCTACACATATCTTTGCTTGTTCTGATTATGATCTTAACAAAGTCTCTCAGTTGTCCTCCACACCACTGCAGATCCTTTTTCATTTGAACGGCTGGTATTTTGCAGCATTCTTCATCGCTGAGATTCTTATGTTTATCTATAAAGGTGAGGTATGGACTCATTAAAGGGTCTAGCGGTTGACGTTTATGTATTTGTGATGTAATCACTGTTTGCTCTGGCTGTTGTAGGGGTGATACTCCCTTACCCACAAGCTAACCTGATATTGGATGTTGTCCTGCTGCTCCTCTTCTTGGGCCTTGAAACCCTCAGACTTTTCTATGGTCAGTGTGATAAAATGTATTGTGAGCGGTGCTTTGTACAAGTAGCAGCTGTAGAACTGACTTTTTTTTTTTTTTTTTTTTTGTCGATCAGAGGACTAAAATTATCCTCATTGGGGAGCAGGGTTGGGCAAACTTGAAATGCCAGGAAGATTTACAATTTACAGTTTTGCCATTCAGAGAAATAAAATAGTCACACAACAGATTTTTTAGTTTATTAAAGTTTTGAAAAATAAGAATATTAATAATTACACTAATTATATGATAATATTAATAATTATTAATAATACTATATCATATAATTTTATAATATTATAATATTATATATTAACAATAATATTAATAATAATTCATTATACATTTTCTCTAATTAACTTAGACACTTTTTTCAAAAGTTTGGGGGAAAGCAATTCATATTTTTTGTTCAGCAAGGAGGATACATTAAATTGATCATAATAGTAAAGATATTTATAATGTTACAAAACAGCTATTTTTTCAAATATATGCTGTTTTTTGGGGGGGAGGGGGATATCACAGTTTCTACAAATATATTAAGCTTAACAATTGTTTTCAACAAATATATATTTTAATTAAATAATTCGTTTAATATTTTGATAGAGGTTTCACATTTATAGGTTTCTATTTTGAATTGCAATAATATTACTGTTTTTACTATCAAAATTCAGTCTTGATAAGCATAAAAGACTAATTTGAAAAACATCTGACCAACCTCAAACTTTTGAACGGTAGTGTATTTCTAATTAGTTAATCGGAGGAAAGTATATTGTACAACGCACACATCAAGGCATAAAAAGCCATACATGGTTAAATTGAATAATGTAGTTATTATTGTTCAAAAAGTGAGAGTGAAAACGCTTTAATATAATGTGACATAGTTACACGTTACGACTTGTACTTACTATAGTAATGCCAGAAAATTATGCATAATTACAGGTAACTATCCTTAAAGGAGCATTGCGGAAGTTCTGACATTTCTTACCATTACTGACACCAGTGGCCATTATCTGGATTGTGCTGGAGGCTGGTCGCTTCTTTCCGTCCACAGAGTCCATTTGAAACACAACCGCTAGCGACTGCCGCTGCTTACTAATGGCTGCCGTACGGATGTAAGCTGAGGGAGACGAGAACGCCCATGACATCGCATTTTATGAATTTTCACGCCAATTAGAACCCGACGACTCCACACACAATTGAGCCTACAGGCTAATAGAGGCAACCGTGGTGGACAGTCAATGCGCCATTCTTTCTATTACATTATGGTTTGCTCATAAATGAACAAATAAAGACTATCTAAGATTTTTTTAAGTGAAAACCTACACATAGCCCCTTTAAACCCTAACCATAAATCTATAACAACTACATATAATATTACTCAGTACTTAACTTATCTAAGTACAATGTAAACACGTCAGTGTTACTGAAAACTAAATTCAGTTCAGTTCAATTAGTTTATATATATATATATATATATATATATAGTTTGGCTTGAATTTCAAAAACACAAATTATTGCATAATAAATAAATAAATGTACATGTTTAACTATATGAAACATTAATGAAATGCAAATAACAATACAGTAATAATTCATATGAAAATGGAAAATATTCAAATGATCTTTTTGTTTTACTTTTATTTATTGTTATTTGTTTCCAAATACCTACCATTTGATTTTGATTTGTAATTCTACATTCTGTGTGCAGCATCAGATAGAATTCTGGAATTGATTTCTAAAGACATTCTCTGCTCAGCTCTGAATGCAGCACAATGAGTGGATGATTGTCATAATAACAAAGATTGATTACTCTTTTTGCTGTGTACATTTTGTATGGTGAAAGTGCATTGATCCATGTAGCAAATGAAATAATGGTGTGTGAAATGTGACTTTCAGGCTGGAAGGGGAACCTGTGTCAGCGCTCTCTGGCTCTGTGTGTGAGTGTTGGTGTTCTGGTGCCCTGTGCGGTGCTCAGCGTCTACTTCCTGCTGCTTCAGACCTTTGTTTTACGCCTTGAGTTTGTACTCAATGCTGTGTTGCTCTGCTTCTACAGCTTTGAGGTGGTTCTGGGAATGATGACGATCTCTATTTTTTCAAGGTAACTGTTTTTGTATTTTGTATGTTTTTCAACACATTTATCCCATAGTATTAAAGAGGCATACACATTATACAGAGACATATACCGGTACATGAATTAGAATAGAAATATGAAAATGGGAATTTAGAGAAGCAGTTTTTGGAGCTTAATTTTCAAGGTATTAGGTAACTGACTTGCTTATTAACATACAAGGTATTTTAAATGTTTTATAAAATACCAGATATTTATACCCAGTGTTTGTTCATTCTCTTTCAGAGCCAACATTTATTAAGTCTGTTCATCTGTCTGGATGAAATCAATGAAGGACATAAGATGCAGTTTTTCAGACTGACTACTGTCAAAACATGTATGTTTCATAAAACAGACATTGAATCATATGTACACTTTTCCTAAAATATATCTGGAGCACCTTAAATATGTAGACCTTGTTTACAAATTTTTGTATTACACATTTATATGTAAATGTAAAGATTTACATTATTAAATGGTTGAGTGAAACAATTGTCGTCATACATTTACCACACACACACACACACACACACATATATATATATATATATATATATATATATACAAACTGTATATGAAGAGTTCAGATGCAAAAGCCTCTAAGTGCCATTTGAAATTTTGTTCTAGAATGACCATTTTTATCAAGCGTGTGTAGTTAAGTTTAGTAATTTCACTTAAATGACAATTAATAGGTAATCTTCATTGCCATTTAAGTGAAATTCCTGAACTTAAATATACAAGCTTGATAAAAATTATAATTTTAGAAGAAAATTTCAAATGGCACTTAGAGGCTTTTGCGTCTGAACTCTTCATATACAGTACAGGAAAACAGTAATATTGTGAAATATTACTATAGTTTATCGCTGGTTTTATTTTATATCTATATTTTAAAATGTAATTTTTTGTTGCAAAGCTGAATTTCCAGCAGGCATACTACTCCAAAAATTCTGATTTGGTGCTCAAAAATATTTCTTATTATCAATAATGTTGAAAACAGTTGGACTGCTTCATAAATTTGTGAAAACTATGATAAAAGATTTTCAGGATTTTTTGATGAATAAAAAGTTCAAAAGAATAGTATTTATTTGAAAAATGTTATATTAAATTGCGTTATAGTTAATGCATCTAAAATAAAATTAATAATTTATTTACAAATATTTAAGCCCCAAACTTTTGTTTGCTTTTTGATTAGGGATAGAATTTATGCAGACCTGACTTGTGCTTTACTGAATTGCAGTCTTCTTGGTGTCTCAATACAACCTTAATCTTGAAAATGACTCATTTTTCAGATGTTGTAATTGTGTCAACAAATGTTTAAATGCAAAATGGCTGTGGCTGCTGTCAGGTGAATGTCATAATCCTTATTACAATTGGACAGGATTATGAGCACACGTAGACGCTTCTTTAAAACAATCTCCAGTAATCCCGAAGGTTTCTCTGAGCCCTGCTGCCAGGTTTCATAGGACAACTATAACGCTATTCAGAAAAGTGTAACACTTCACTGACAGCTAAGATAAAATGGCTGCAGTGGACAAGGATGTGGCTGAGAAGTTTTTGGACAGTAATCCAACATTTGCCAAGCAGTACTATGACTCCAGGTTCCGGGCCAAGGTCGTCTCCGACCTTCTGTCGACCACCCGTAAAACAGAAGTGGACAACAGCTCTTACCATGAGCTGAGCTCTATTGAGGAGTGCGAGATCATTTTCGATATGGTGCGGGACATGCAGGAAAACCTGCAGATGGAGAGGGCCGTGTTCAACCTCATGCGGCATCTCACCTTCATGATACGAGCAGACCGCATGAGTCTCTTCATGTACCGCCAGAGGAACGGCATAGCTGAACTGGCCACGCGACTCTTCAATGTCCATAAAGATGCCACACTGGAGGAGTGTCTGGTGCCACCGGACAGTGAGATTGTGTACCCGCTGGACACAGGCATTGTGGGCCATGTGGCCACTGCCAAGAAGACCGTCAACATTCCTGATGTCACAAAGGTAGGATTATGGAAGATTGTTTCTGCCACCAAATGAAAAATCTGATACAGTTCTGATTTCTTTAGATATCTCATAATTCAGACTTTTTTTTTCTCAGATTTGTGATAAAAACTTGCAATTCTGAGATAAAATGTCAAAACTGTGATATATAAACTCCATTTAAGAGGAAAATATCTTTATATTGTTTTATTATGTGGCAGTGTACTGAAACAAGCTTTCATTTAGGATAGGAATGGGATAAGTATCCATAGCTAGTTAACCAGTTATACCATAAATAAGTTATTACAACATATGTTTTTACAGTGCTTGAACTCATCAAAATAAGCAATTTACAAATAAAAAAGGGAGGCTTACTGCGCTTCTGAAAAATGCCAAAATTTCTCCCGTTCTGTTTAAGCAATTTACAACTTTGTTTATAAGTTGTGCAAAATTCAAGTTTATTGTACTTCAAAATTTAAGGCAGCAATGGTATATAGGTCCTGTGAGTTATTAATATGAGAGTGCAATTCACATTATTACCAGGAGAGAGCAGTGCAACGCTAACATTTTATAGTCATTTTTTCATCAGTTATGATCAGACATCCCAAAATATAAGTTAATGACTGTGTGACTATTCAAAATTGAATTTTTATTAGCAGAATATATTTTATTAAATAATGTATGAACCGACCGTTTTAAACAATTTTCTGGCATTAAAATGAAATAGGCCATCAGACATTCTCTATCTCTAAAATGGGATGATATGCTAATTATGTGGCCCCATTGCTGATATATTTGAGAAATATGAGGGGGTGATGTTGCACAGACAGATATGGCTGAATGTGTGCAGCCAGAGACAGCCATGAAATCTCCCTCTCTCCTTGATTATTTTACTTTTTCTTTGGCACACAAGGCTTCACTGCTTATCAGACAGCAATATACTTTCCTCTGTACTGCTCATAATCATTTTTTTTTTAAATGGGGTTTCTCAATCTTTGAGAAAGGCATTATGTGACTGAAATACCAAGTAAGCCTTTTTGAAACCCTCAAGGTGGCGACAGCATCCTATCTCAGTTTAAGATGTCCGCCAGACTGCCGAGTAACCACAAGTGTCCACAGATGCGCTGATATTTGTAAGCAAGCACATATGCAAAAAGTGTTGCCCTCTTTTTAAGCATTACACGTTTGACAGTTTGTGATTTTTGTAGGCTACATTCTGAGAATCATATTTCTTCCATTTTTATGTGTATGGCACCGTAGCTCAGTTATTAATATGCAAGGCTGTAGTGCTGGTGGATTAGAGCAGGTCACCGCTCTTCCTCAATTTGTTACCAGGTCTGGAGGGGATAAAAGTATTTAATCTGAGTTGAATTAGAGCGATCCTGGATTAAATCTAAAGGTCAGTGCCTAACGCCATGTTCCACTCGTCAGCAGAACATCAGTGCTTACATTAAACTCTACATTTAACTTTCCCTTTCTATTGTTGTTGTGGAACAGAATATGGAGAATTTAATGTTTCAAATGAACCTGGGTTTTTATTCATTTCAGTTATTCAAATATTATCTAGAATATTTTTTTGTTGTTGTCTGATATTGGCCCACAGAAAAAAAATGGTTTCACTTTATGTTAAGGTGTGTAATTATGCATGTAAATACTGAGTAATATTAATTAACATTATGTACTTACTATAGGATTAGGGTATGGTTTATGGTTAGTTGCGTGTAATTATGCATGATTTAAAATGTTACCAAATATTTAAACACATTTCATTAAATACACTGCAAAAATAATTTCTTATCTATTATTTTTCTCTTGTTTTCCACTAAAATTCTTAAATCAAGATAAAAAGAATTGTTTGAGACAAAATGACATTATATATTAAGTCTTGTTTTTTTATAATATATATATATATATATATATATATATATATATATATATATATATATATATACACATAAATATATTTGATTATATATATATATATATATATATATTTCTGGCTTACAACAAAAACAAATATATGCCAGTATCATAAAAATAAAATGTTCCCCTTTGAATTGAGATTATTTTTCTGTTTACATTGGCAGATATTTTTTCTTGTTTTAAGCTCCAGCTCACTCAATTTTGATACATTGTTAAGAAATCAAGTATTACTATCAGTCAAATTGCTTCTTAAGTAATGTTATCTTGATTTAAGAATGTGTAGATATTTTAATCGGAAACCAAGACAAAAATAGTGTGTAAGAACATATTTTTTTTGCAGCGTAAAAATATTTGGTAACACTTACAATAAGGTCCATTTGTTAACATCAGTTAAATATTATTAGGTATCTCAAGAATTAATATATATATATATATATATATATATATATATTAGAGCATTCTTTAATCTAGGTTAATGTTAATTTCAAAATGTACTAATACAAAAGTTGTATCTTTTATGATTATTTAATGGACCTGTGAACATTGAACGGTTGTATTTTGTTTTTCTATAAACAAACATTCAAAATACTGTAACAAATATATTGTATGTTGATTTTCAATTAATGTTAATGCATTTGTGTTATTGTAAAGTGTTTTACCATTTTACTAGGCATGGTAACTCTGCTAGTAACAATAAATCCTCCAAACTTTTATTCCGGTAAATGAAATGATTTAATTGTGCGCATCAATAACGTTTTATCTTAACACTGATTTAAAGTTAACATTCTCACTGTGAATAAATGTGCTTCCCTCTCCAGGACAGCCACTTCAGTGACTTTGTAGACACCCTGACAGAGTACCAGACCAAGAGTGTTCTCGCAACTCCCATTATGAACGGCAAAGACATGGTGGCCGTCATGATGGCTGTCAACAAGATCGATGGTCCACATTTCACTGCTCAGGATGAAGAGGTATATTCACTCATCATCCTCTGTAATACTATTAAGTACAGCGCTTTGGGTTTAAATTCAACAATAAGTCTCGGTGGAGATGCCAATTTGAAATGTAAACAATGCAGAAAATAATAATTATATACATTGGTCTCGCCACACATTTTTAATCTCAATCTCAAATGTTATGACAACAGTTTTGTACATTGCTTTAACTCGTCAAAATAAGATTCAGCACATTTTTGAAGTCAGATTCATGTAATTTAATTTAAGGCAGCAACTTTTCGATTAATATTAATACAGTGAAAGCACTTTGATAAACAGACTTCTACAGAACAGATTAAATGCTCTGTTGACATAAATCAATCTCTGTGTCTTGTAGACGCTGAAGAAATATCTCAACTTTGCCAATCTTGTGCTTCGAGTGTTTCACCTGAGCTACCTGCACAACTGTGAGACCAGAAGGGGACAGGTAGGATTTCTTCAAGACATTAACCATTAATGAGACATTTACCAATAAACACTGCCACTTAAAGTTTTGTTGTCATTTTCTCTTATATCTTCATTGAAGGTGTTGCTCTGGTCTGCCAGCAAAGTGTTTGAGGAGTTGACTGACATTGAGAGACAGTTCCACAAGGCCCTCTATACAGTCCGAGCCTTCCTCAACTGTGACCGCTACTCTGTGGGCCTCCTGGACATGACCAAAACTAAAGTGATTGTTTATTTATCTAATTATTTATTTATTTATTAGGGCACGAGCACTAACGGTGCGAGGCCCCTATTGAAACTGTTAGGATTATTGTTTTCTTTTTTTTTTTTTCTGCAAAGTAAGCACCATTTTCACGGCCGCAGCATGCTCAAAAACTCAGCAAATTTGGCACGCATGTCAGGGCTGGTGAAAAATGTCATATTTTGTAGGTTTCGCGGATGGCCATGGCAAAATGGCTCGCTAGCGCCACCTAGAAAATTGGAAAAAAAATTTGCCCCTTGTCCACGTTCAACCTACAATAAACAATAATCAAAAATAGAAAAATCAAACAACAACGACATACAAGATACCAGACACCATACACTTCAAAGACAATAAACATTTTTAAAAAGATGGGTCTTTAAAGACCTCTTAAAGCAGTCCAACAACTGTGGAATAAACTTTGCAAATGCAACTTTACTCATCTAGTTTACATGTTACTTAAAATAAAGTGGGACTGTAAATTGTAGTTTTATTTGCCAGTTGAAGCATTTTGAAATATATTTTTGTTATTTCTTTTGCCTGTAGGAGTTCTTTGATCTTTGGCCCGTACTAATGGGAGAGGTGGCCCCATATAGTGGACCAAAGACACCTGATGGCAGAGTGAGTGATACACATTGCATAAATAGGAAATGTTTATTTAGTTAATCATGTCAGAGAAACACAAAACTTCCCTGAATGAATCGTTATGAGTTCTTACTTGCTGTCACGTCTGTTGTGTTTGACTTACGCTTTTAATTATGCTTCAGGAAGTGATTTTCTACAAAGTGATTGATTACATATTGCATGGAAAGGAGGACATCAAAGTAATTCCGTAAGTTAATACATTTTTATTGCCTGTTAAATTTGACTGTGCGCTACCACTTGGCATTTAATTAAGCCCACATGCTTTATCATACATCAAAATCACATGCATTGTAAATGTTGTACCTAACCTTATAAACGTGTTAAAGGGATACTCCACTTTTTTTTTTTTTTTGGAAATAGGCTCATATTACAACTCCCCCAGAGTTAAACAGTTGAATTTTACCCTATTCGAATCCAAATCCAGCCGATTTTCTGATATTTAGAAGAATATCAGTAACCAGACAGTTTCTGGTCTCATTGACTTCCATAATATATATTTTTTCCTACTATGGAAGTCAATGAGACCAGAAACTGTTGAATGGATTCGAAAACGGTAAAACTCAACTGTTTAACTCTGGGGGAGTCGTAAAATAAGCCTATTTCCAAAAAAAAGTGGAGTATCCCTTTAAGAAATGGCAAGATGCAAGCTGGCCAGACAGTTATGGGTGTTTGCAAGGTTGGGCCAAACTGGCCCTCCTGTGGAGCCAGATCGAGCAACAATGATTTTTGAGATGTTTTTAGAACATATACTCAACCATTATTATAATTTTATTTAAGAAAAAAATAAATTATTGCTTCAATTCAGTAAAGATGCATTAAATTGGTCAAAAGTGACACTTTTTAACAAGAAATTATGTTTCTGCATTTCATCAAAGAATCCTGTAAAAAAAAGTATCACTGTTTCCACAAGTATTTAGCAGCAAATCAACATTTTAAACATTAAATCCAAATTTAAAAAAAAATATTCAAATAGAAAACTTATTTTAAATTGTAATAATATTTCACAATTATGAAATAAATGCAGTCTAAGTGAGCATTAGACTTCTTTCAAAAACTTTTACAAATCTTTCAGACCCCAAACTTTTGAACAGCAATGTATATTTTTGATTTCTAGTCCAGACCACCTAGAAAATAAAAGATGGGGTTTATCATTGGAAAGTTCTGTATTGTTCTGGTCAGATGCATATATTCGTTGTCGTTACAGTAACCCTCCTCCTGACCACTGGGCATTAGTAAGTGGGCTTCCCACCTACGTTGCAGAGAACGGCCTGGTGAGAGTCCAGACCTCCATCCTCCTCCACTGACGCCACAGTAGTCAGACAATTTGAAAGCTATTATGGTTTATAATGCTCCTGTCATGTGCACAGTGAGGGGGAATAGAATGTGCTCCCACACTGAAATGATGGATAATTGTAATTTTGTGAACAGTAATTAATCAGCAAGCAATACCCCTTCTCAGTGAGCGTGACTGCCGCTTTCCCTTCACTCTGTCTTACAGATCTGTAATATCATGAACGCTGCTCAAGACGAGGTCTTTGAATTTCAAGTGAGATCACCTTAACTTATGCTTCCTACAAAATCAATTAAATTAAATGAACAGTCTTCCAAAATCTGTATATCTGACCTTTTTTGTATATATGTTCCTGAAATATATTTTGATTCAAGTTTATTTTGTCCTGCCAGAAAGAACCTCTCGATGAAACTGGATGGACAATTAAGAATGTGCTCTCTTTACCCATCGTGAACAAGAAAGAAGAAATCGTTGGCGTGGCCACATTCTATAACAGGAAAGATGGAAAGCCTTTTGACGAACAGGATGAAACACTAATGGAGGTATTTGAGGCCACAGTATAGACCAGTACTGTGTCATAGCTAAATATACAATAATGGATGAATCAGCAGACTCTGCATTATTTATCCATAGTGTGTTTTGCCCTTTGAAAGTTAAACAAAAAGTACTTAGTTTCCTTGAGCTACAGTCCACAGAAAGCATTTTTATTTTAGCTCAACCGTTCTTTGTGGGTTTTCAGATTCATTTCTGTCTGATCTGTCTAATGTTTTTAATCTTCTTGTCAGATTCCTACTTTACGTATCTCAATATGAATCTGAAATGAAATTGTGAATCTAAACCCGAATCTGAATTTAAACCTGAACCTCAACCTTCAGTAAATATGAACATGGACCTGAATATAAACCTGAATCTGAACCTGAATCTCAACCTTAAATATGAACATGAATAAAAATGTGAATCTAAATCTGAATCTGAATGTGAACCTGAATCTCAATCTCAATCTCAAAAAAAGTAAGGTAAATGTGAATGAGAAAGTGTATTTTTACACAACAACGAAATGCTTAAAACAGAGAAGTTTATCCTTTTGAGTTTTATGCGTATAGGCGACACCAGGCGCGTCGTTAGACATGGGCATTCGGGGCTTCAGCCCCGGATGTTTTTTTTTTATAGCCCGGGATCTCAAAAAAAAAAAAAAAAAAATATTGATCATTATTATTAAATTTGAATAATTTTTGTATTTATTTAAAAAAAATTACCCGGTATTTTAATCTATCCTTCGGAATAATGTATTAAAGACGATTAGCAGATCAAATTTACTATGGTTACTAATGGTTACACAGCACGCTTGAGTTTAGATTGCGCACCAGAGGAGAGAGAGAGAGAGTACCTGAAAGAGCATCAGTTAACTTACAGCTTTAGGGCTTGACTGTCATTGTTGTTTGTGGCTTCATTAGACACTTTTTTAAAAGGAAAATAAGGAGTCATGAACGATACGAGGCCGATGAGAGGCAAGAAGAGTTATCTTATTGGCGCCGTTCCCTCATCAAAGCTCTTCAGCAAAGCCTGGTCGTCTAATTTAACGTTACTTAAGTTAGCCCTGTAAGTTACTCATTGTGGTTTTAATGCAGAACATGTAAAGTACGTGGGACCTTACTATTTCGCCTAAACAAGCTAATCCATTTTGTGAGTCATCATAATCCGTTTCTCGTGAAGAATGTAGATGAAGTAGCCTAACTTATTCATCTGATTTGGCTAAGATTGGATAAGATAGGATTTTTCCCAATTGGTATTATCGAAGAAAATACTAATTATCTTTAGGAATCCTATCTTGCTTCCTCCTATCCAGAGCCGGCCCGAGCCTTTTGGGGGCCCTAAGCAGAATTTGATTTGGGGGCCCCTCCCACGACGCGGAGTCACCTGTGTTTTACGATTATTGACACAAATGTCACGCAATAATGATACATTATAAATGAATACACTTAGGTTATGTATTAGGCTACAACAAAATTAATACTTTAAACAACAAAATTACTTTTAACAACAACAAAATTAATAAAAAGAAAATAGATGCCTACTTAAATAAAAAAAAGTTTTAACAGTCTTAAAACTGTCTCAAAACATATAAAAGAAATTATTTGCTAAAATTATGACAAAACTGAGAAACATAACAACAAGCCTATTGTTGAAAACTAAAAATATTTGGCCTACTATTTCTCAACTGTCTCAATACAGTGTAACTGTCCTCAAAAGCATTATTATTATTGTTATCGTAAGAGACTTTGTTAGATATTACATGACATAATCCAACAAAGTCTGTTACTATAATACCGTTAATGATGTTCTGGCGCTCGTTGTATGTGTGTATGCAAATGTGTTTTTCCCCAGGGGCTTGCCGTAGATGGGTCGTGCGCAGACTGCGCACTTGGTAGGCTACTGGAGTGTTGCGGGTTTTTGTAGGTCTGATGTGTGGTATAAAGTGGAGAAGAGTTCAAACTGCTATGTTTATTATTTATTCAAACTGCTACCCTTACACCTTGAAGGTTAAGTTCCCCTGCGGGCTGTTTTCTCCAATACCGATACCGTGACTAAGCGCAGTTGCGCACAAATTGTCTATGCACGCGCGAGGTGGATCTAGAGGATTATGCGCATGACTTAAACGCAGGCAGACACAGCAACAGTTGTAACTTGTAGGCAGGTATATTGATAATTAAATCAGAGTTTTGTTGTCTTGAATGATTCATTCAGTCATTTTCATTCAGTCATTTTAATTCATTCATTGATTTATGTCACTTAAGTAATCTAAAAAAATATAAATAAAAAATAACCCTGAAAGCGGCAGCTTAGTTGAGAAGTTCGCTTATGCCTCGGGCCGGCTCTGAACTCAACAGACTCATGGCTCAGTTGATAAACCGTTGGGCTTTAATCAAGAAGACCTGAGTTGAATTCCCATTCTTGCTTACGTTAAATTGTTGTGATTATATCAAACAAAGTGGCCAAAACAACATTTCTTCAACCCGGTATCACGACAAGACGTGAAATAATCACTTTGGTGCACTTTTGAAAACGCGTAGATGTCGGTTTAAACCCCCTCAAACGTTAAACTTACCTATTGGTTTTCATTAAACTGAGAATTGTGTTTTATTGACGATCACTGAGAAATGGTCTAATATTTAAAATGCAAAAAAACATTTATTATTTTCAAGATGAAAAGGATTCATTTGCCTCGATCCACGCTGAAAAAACGTCTAAATGTCACATTTTTAATGAAGCAGCCTAAATAGTCCACTTTGGAAAATGTGTAGATGTCACGGTTTAACCCCCTCAAACGTGAAACTCACATGCGTTAACACGCTCCAAAGAGATATCCGGATGTTTATTCGCCTCTGCCAGGCAGAGGCGAATAAACATCCGGATATCTTCGTTCGACCTATTGGTTTTCATTAAACCGAGAAAATGGAATTTTGTTTTATTTACGATCACCGAGAAATGTTCTATTATTTAAAATGCCAAAAAAAAAAAATATATATATTTTCAAGGTGAAAAGGATTCATTTGCATGGATCCACCCCGAAGAAAACGTCTAAATGTCACGTTTTTAATGAAGCAGCCTAATGAGTAAAATGTCTATTTTTCCGGCGTTCCCCCAGTTCCTCGTTTAAGCAAAAGGTACGCTAAAACAACGTATTACATCGACGTTAAACCACGTTAACCGTGTTAACCATAACCTTTTAATTACTCAACCTAGTTCCATTGGTTAGCAACAGGAAGAAACTCCTGTAACTTCAGTGCCCATGCCCAACCCGTATCAAGGACAAGACGTGAAATAATCACGTTGGTCCAATTTGGAAAACGTGTAGATCACGGTTTAGTTTAAACTCAGAACCATAAATAGGGCTATACTGCCCTCTTGTGTCAAATTATATTTCTATATTTATTTTTCCAACAAATAAAACCAAACCCGCAATAAAACACCGTTTGTACATCCTTGAACTCAACAGATTCAGTGGCTCAGTTGATAAAGTGTTGGGCTTTAATCAAGAAGACTTGAGTTTTATTCCCATGCTTGCATTAATTTGTTGTGATTATATCAAACGGCCTAAACAATATTTCTTCAACCCGGTATCGTGACAAGACGTGAAATAATCACTTTGGTGCACTTTTGAAAACGCGTAGATGTCACGGTTTAAACCCCTCAAACGTGAAACTTACACTTAAACTGAAACTTACCTATTGGTTTTCATTAAACTGAGAAAAATGGAATTTTGTTTTATTGACCATCACTGAGAAATGGTCTAATATTTAAAATGCAAAAAACATTATTTTTAAGGTGAACAGGATTCATTTGCCTCGATCCACGCTGAAAAAAACGTCTAAATGACAAATTTTTAATGAAGCAGCCTAAATAGTCCACTTTGGAAAATGTCACGGTTTAACCCCCTCAAACGTGAAACTTACACGTTTGCGTTAAAACGCTCCATTGGAGATATTTTGATGTTTATTCGCCTCTGCCATAACGACCTATTGGTTTTCATTAAACCGAGAAAATGGAATTTTGTTTTATTTACGATCACTGAGAAATGTTCTATTATTTAAAATGCCAAAAAAAAAAAAAAAAAAAAATTTATTATTTTCAAGGTGAAAATGATTCATTTGCATGGATCCACGCCGAAGAAAACGTCTAAATGTCACGTTTTTAATGAAGCAGCCTAATGACTAAAATGTCTATTTTTCCGGCGTCCCCCCAGCTCCTCGTTTAAGCAAAAGGTACGCTTAAAACAACGTATTACATCAACGTTAAACCACGTTAACCGTGGTAACCATAACCTTTTAAATACTCGACCTTCCATTGCTTAGCAACGAGAAGAAACTCCTGTAACTTCAGTGCCCAACCCGTATCACGACAAGACGTGAAATAATCACGTTGGTCCACTTTGGAAAACGTGTAGATGTCACGGTTTAGTTTAAACTCAAAACCATAAATAGGGCTATACTGCCCTCTTGTGTCAAATTATATTTCTATATTTATTTTTCCAACAAATATAACCAAACCCGCAATAAAACACCGTCCATACACCCTTGAGCTCAACAGATTCAGTGGCTCAGTTGATAAATCGTTGGGCTTTAATCAAGAAGACATGAGTTCAATTCCCATACTTGCGTTAATTTGTTGTGATTATATCAAACAAAAGTGGCCTAAACAATATTTCTTCAACCCGGTATCGTGACAAGACGTGAAATAATCACTTTGGTGCACTTTTGAAAACGCATAGATGTCACGGTTTAAACCCCCTCAAACGTGAAACTTTACTTTCATTAAACTGAGAAAAATGGAATTTTGTTTTATTGATGATCACTGAGAAATGGTCTAATATTTAAAATGCAAAAAAAAAAAAACATTTATTATTTTCAAGGTGAACAGGATTCATTTGCGTCGATCCACGCTGAAAAAAAAACGTCTAAATGACACATTTTTAAATGAAGCAGCCTAAATAGTCCACTTTGGAAAATGTGTAGATGTCACGGTTACCCCTCAAACGTGAAACTTACACGTTTGCGTTAACACGCTCCATTGGAGAGATATCCGGATGTTTATTCGCCTCTGCCATTGTCACAAGAACAGGACGGAAGCAATTGCAAGTAACTCAATTTATTAAGGTCAGAAGACTCAAAGACAATCTCAGGGAAATAACACAGCAGATGGTGGCGCAGGGACTCAGTGGTCAGCGTGCAGGTGATGGTGAATCCAGTGCGGGTGACGATAATCCAGTGCAGGTGAACATCCAGACGAGACAGGACACGAAGACACCGAACAGGAACTCGAACAGGAACTCGAACAGGAACTCGAACAGGAACTCGAACTCGAACTGGACCAAACTGCAACAGGAACACGAAGCACGACACAGAGGACACCAAACCAACGATCTGACAAAGAGAGGAGATTGTGATGAGTCTTTATAGAGAGGTGAATTGGCAGCAGCTGGCACTGATAATGAAATCAGCTGGTGCGCTGATCAGCCGAACGAGCGGTAACGCCCACTCACACGCGCTCATACTCACAGAACAACAATAACACGAGACATGAAGGAAACAGTGAATTCATGAATCGTGACAGCCATAACGACCTATTGGTTTTCATTAAACCGAGAAAATGGAATTTTGTTTTATTTACGATCAATGACAAATGTTCTATTATTTAAAATGCAATATGAAGAGTTCAGAAGAGTTCATGCAAAAGCCTCTAAATGCCATTTGAAATTTTCTTCTAAAATGATAATTTTTATCAAGCTTATATTCAAGTTCAGTAATTTCACTTAAATGACAATTAATAGGTAATCCTCATTGCAATTTAACTGAAATTACTGAACTTTCCGCAAATTCGCGGGAGATCGTCTTCTGGCAGCAAGAGAAAAATAGCGGAAAGACGGCCGGCTTGATCCTGACGAACTATGTAAACGGTCCGTGTTACATTTAACCCCGCGTTAGGTTGTGCCCCGCGCTCCCCTACGCTAAAAACAACGTATTACATCGACGTTAAACCACGTTAACCGTCTTAACCATAAGCTTTTAAATACTCGACGTAGTTCCATTGCTAAGCAACGAGAAGAAACTCCTGTAACTTCAGTGAACAATCCGTATCACTCAGGTCAAAGTCTCATGGCCCTCTATCAGAATCCAGAGTTTTGAGAAGATTGGAGAAACTTAATTTTTCGCCCGAGAAAAAAAAACGAAAGGGGTAACACTGTCGTTTTTTTTTCGGGTCGAAAATTTGAATTTCGATATCTCAGCTCTGGAAGGGTCTAGAGCCTCCATTTTTGCACTCAGGTGAAAGTCTCATGGCCCTCTATCAGAATCCAGAGTTTTGAGAAGATTGGAGAAACTTAATTTTTCGCAAGAAAATTAAAAAAAACGAAAGGGGTAACACTGTCGTTTTTTTTTCGGGTCGAAATTTTGAATTTTGATATCTCAGCTCTGGAAGGGTCTAGAGCCTCCATTTTTGCACTCAGGTGAAAGTCTCAT